CATGCATGTGCAGCATGAATGAATGATTCGAGGTAAGCCAGAGTTCCCCAAAACAAAAAAATCTCGTGTACAGGGTGTAAAAGAGAAGCACAAACTTGGGTAACAAGACATTCCATTGTTCATATAAAAAAAAAACGTAGAGGAGGCTGAGTCCAAATGAGATAGGAGTGGAAGAACATGCCCAAATATGGGGTGAACATAAAAGAAAATAGAAGGTTTAACAAGCTAGCCCAGCTGAGCAGCCTGCATCAGAAGAAGTCGGTGTGAGAAGAGTCCACTCGTGAAGGAATGAGAAGCTTTTCACCCATGTAATAATGAAACCACAGTCCCAATCCATGAACAAGGCAGGAAAATGACCTATGACTCAAATAAGGACATAAGGAGCAGACACAATGCCAAAAGAAAGAATACAGAACTGGCAGAACTAATCCAATGGACAATAAGAAGAAAACAGCTGGAGGATAGAGCAATCAGAATGTGTAAAAACGTGTCCACAACATAGATCTGGGTGAAAATAACCACCAAACAAAAAGAAACCCTTCATATAGAACCAAGGGATGATAAAAAATTAGTTGAGAGATGACAGATTGATAACCAGATGCCAGTCTACAGTCTTCCTGGGGAACACAAAAATATGAGGGTAATAACCAGGTGTAGGGGTAAATACCCTCTCAGTGATGTTCTTGACCAAGAAACCTCAGATCACATTCTCAAGACACTGAATAGGAACAAAGGGACATTGACAAAATGAACAACAATTCCGACACTGGGAATTTGGAAAACAGAAGTAGAAGAAGGCTGGAAGCTGGAATGAAAAGGAGAGACGTGGATTCAGCAGGCTGAGGAATAGGAACAGAATGGTGAGGTTGAGAAAGAAGGGAAACCACAGTAAACATTGAGGACATATACCAGGCCACCCCAGCAAGTCAGGAACATCTCCAAAATTCTCAGGGCAAGGAAATAGAGCCCAATGAAGATAAGCTTGAGGAAGGCATACAATAGCTTGGAGAATATCCCATCTCAACAGCAGAGGAACTAAGTAAGGAAAGGTAGAGCAGAAGTGCAGGCCAATATGGTGAAAAGAAGAGACAAACCTATCCAGAGAATCCCTCCTGAGCACGATGAAGTGTCTCAGACATAAGGAGAAGTGACCAGATATAATGCAAAATTGCTGTAATAAAGAGACAAAGGTGCAAAAATTGAGTACTAGGAAGGGAAATAGAAGTCACCCAAGGAAGGTAAAAGAGAATCCAAAGATTGGGAATCAAAGAATGGAAATGAAGTTCTAAGCCAGGAAAAAAAAAAAGTCAAGTAGATGGGGACAATGTAGCACATATGTGCACTTGAGAATTTATAATGGGTAAGCAGAAATTTTTTTTTTCTGTTCTCTTATTAAGTAGTAATAAAATACCCAGTAAAACTTAAACAAAATTTAAGCTTCACAAATTATCACAAATCTCATGTAACTAATTCATAATATTTTAAAAACACATCCATTCTAGACAATGGCAGGATTATCATCATATGATGGGTCATCATGCACTGGTGCAATTCACGTTAAACACCCAATTTTTAGGTGGGAGTTAGCTCAAGGCTAGTGGCATGCATCTCTCATAGGCAGACATGTGAGGGATCAAGCTATTGTGTGTGAAGAAGTGAGGTATCATCTCAGAAGTTTATGTTTTTATGAGTCTGGTGTAGTCTTAGTGTTCTTCGAGTTGGGCACCAAAGTTACTACCAGTTTCTTCAATGTAGGATTCATTGCAATAACATGGGATTTCATAACTAGTACTTCTGTGGAGATTGACTAGTGGTTTCTGTTTAAAGCAAGTTAAAATCGAATGAAGAGTTTCCCAGATTTCCTTCTGATGTTAATATTGAACCTTTTTCCACAGTTTGTTTCAGCTTCTCAATGAGTTTTATGATTTTTGAAAACATAGTCAATATGTCTTAAATAGTCAAAATACTCTTTTCACATTGGTGGTCCTTTACAGTCATTTTTTATATTTGATTTTTTTAAACAAAGAGTATCCACATTTTACTTCTGTGTTTTCTGAAATTTATATATCAAAACAATAATGAAGACCGAAGAATGGCTGCAATAACTAATATAAAGAACAATTCAAAAGTCTAATAGCATCCATCTTAATTTAAGGACAAACTACAAGGAATGTGGAAAACAACATCTGTAGTTTACATGATTTTTATCACAAATAATAGGCATATTGGTTTTAATGTTTCGCTAGTTTTGGATTATACTTTAGCTCTACATAATGCTAAGGATTGAGAGTTTAAACTAAAAACATAAATTAGGTTATTATGAATAGTTTGTTTGTGAACTTTATTATTTATATTTCATTAGCCCAAACAATCACATAATTAACAATTATCATAACTAGTCAACAAAATGATAATTTTCATGTGCTTATATAAAAGTAATACATATGTGTTTCATTTTATACAGTTTGTAGGTCTATTAAGTTCATAACCAAGTATGTATTATTTGGTCTAAAATGAGTGCACACAACACACACAAATTAACAAGTATCAGATGCAACAACATCACTCAGCTGTAAAGTAATATAACAGTGGTGATACTTGACCATCAAATAATATTTTGGGGGCATAACATTATCAATAACATAAATATTCAAAATAAATTTTAGAAAATATTTTAACAATCAAATTATTGGTGAGCAAATGCCCTGCTGGCTCTGTTATTCTTTTTTATACTTCATATATAAATATTATTGATGAAAAGATTTTCTCTCTCATTATTCAATTCATCTGATAACTTCTGGTATTGAAAGAAAAGCAACTTCGGCTGTGACTCATGGAATAAAAAAAAAAAGACTGATCTGAAATGCTATTTTTAAACAACTTGAATGTGGGAAAAAATTGGCAGTTGGTTGGTTTTTATCACAAATATAAAAAGTATTGGTTTCTAATGCTTCTTTAGCTTCTGGCTTCTAAACCATAACTTCTTATAATTAACACACTATAATAATCACTTTGATAAACATTCTATGGTCACTAACCCCAGGCATTTTATGTACCCTGTTCTCTGTTGAAGAAAACAACTAATCAGAAAAATGAGAGAATTATGAGCAACTGTATGTACACGGCTCTTCTTTTAACTTGTTTAGAGCCAAATAGTGAGAAATGTAAAGTAAGTGTGCAATGAAATACTAAGATATAACAATTAATAAGGATTACTACCATGTTTCAAAAGAACTGCTGCTACAGACTCCAATAAACAAAATATAAAACTGAAATTCTTTTAATGTATTAATTTTCTTGCTGCTAAAAACTCGGTGAACCAGTAATAAAATGTTGCAATTAAAACATTAATAGTCTTGCTCTAATAATTCATGAAACTGTCAAACTCAAAACATTTTATGTTTATTTGTATGTATATATATATTATACACCTTTATTTTCTAACATGCATTTTTTAAAATTCAATTTCATTAAAAACAGATTGGCTGACAGCCTGATGAGCTCTAGTTTGAGAAAAAAAAAGTCCTCATCAGAAGCAATTTAAGAGTCTAGTTGAATTTCCATTTATATTCTCTTCTTGTTGAAAAACCCTCATTGTTCCAGTTAAGATTAATGTTTAAGTTTTTATAAACAGTATTTTTGTGATTTGGTAAGCACACTTTCTAACTTAACTGTTTTTTTGAGATGACAACATTGTTGATTCACACCAAACGGAATAAAAAATTAGATATATAACTGATGCTACAGGGTCATTTAAAAGACCTTCAACTATATTGCTTCATGTTCTTTGGGAAATAGTGTATTAGACCATAATTAATTTCAAATGCTCCCATAGTAGCATAAGTTACTTAAAAAAACCTTTTAATTCAATTCTATATCATGTTACCAGCCTTACACCTTAAACTTTCAGTATGGTTGCACACTTAGACTTTAATTTGTCTAATACTGATATAGGTAAGGTTTCTTTGTTGTTAACTGGCTATATGTGCTGTGTCCTTCACGGTATCAAAATCTGGTTTTTAGTGTTAGAAGTCTTCAGATTTACCTCTGAGCCCCTGTGGGGGCTACAGTTAAGGTATTGCTGGAGTAAATTTTACCTAAGTAAAAATACTCTCAGGTCTATTCTTATAATCTAAATATTTTTTTCTTTTTGGCCTCAGTTGTAGCGAATTTGGAGTTGGGCACTAAGTGATGTAAGCCAAGAGCATTTTTACATCTGAGTAGCTAGCCCAATCAGTTACCATATAGGATGAGCATGCTTGGCGATAGGAATTTGAACTCACAACCCTCAGATTGCAAGTCAAGCACCTTAACCACCAGGCCATGCCAGGCCCTATAATTGAATTATATCTACATAAATTATAAAAGTAAACCAGAAAATATATCAGTTGTTTTACCTGTAAACTGCTCCAACAATATTTAATACATCAACATTCCAAAGAGTAGCTAATGAAATACATATGTGTATCATTTAGACATTTTAACAATTCACTGAGTATTTACACTTTAATTTAAAATACATAAAATGTTAAGTGTTTCAGAATTCATTTCAATGACTCAGTGAAAACATGCTAACACACCCTAACTTTCTATATACTTTATAAACTCTGCTTTCATCCCTTATCAGCCTTATAAAATAAACTTAAGAACTAAAAGCCAAATTTCAGCAAATTATTTTCAAAGTACTGCAATAAATTTAAAACAAATATCTCAGTTTCAATATATATATATATACTAATGAATATTTAAACCAATAAATATAATAATTCTCTAATGCTAACAAAATCTAGCTTTAACCATAAATTGATAAAAATGCAGAAAAATTTAAGTCTACATTTTTACCATGGAATTAACAATTATCAAATATATTCAGTATTGTTAAGAAATACGTTAAGAAAAGAAAGGAAAATATTTTAATGCAAAATAACTATTATAAGTTAATATAAAAACAACTATCTAACTAAGGTTTTCTTATTCAAAAATTAAATTAATGTTTTTATAAAACGTTAAGTTAGTAATTTAGAAAAAAAATGAGTTATACAGCATTTCACTATATTTCCTATTTTTTTGTTCAAATATAGAAATCTACACAAAAGTATTTTCAACAGAATATGCTGAAACACTATGGTTCACGATATATTTTCACAATCACTGTTGTTGTCACTATCCTCAAAACACTCTTCAGACTCTCCCAAAACAGTTTGACCAGACAAACCAAACAGTTTAGAACGTTCAGCAGCCAAAGCTGCTACAGTTTTTGTAAAAAACAGATTTCCATCTGACACACCCGGCACTTTTAATTTTAAAATTTCATCTGTCCTTGAATTTTCTTTCTCAGATGGTATATTATATGATGGGGAAAATCCCTTTGATTTACAAGTATTCTTGATGGAATCTGAATTAAAATCATCACTTTTACTCTCTACATTCTGCTCATTATTTAAGAGATGCTCACAACTTTGATCCTGAAAATTTTTAATTTTAGTCATTTTTTTATCTTCAAAGCTACAGCTTCCACTAATAATTTTATCCTCCTTTTCCACTTCATCTACAGAACTTTGTAGAACTACAAAATCTTCTGCATTAATGACATCTTGACAATTTGATTTGTCAGGAAGAGCACTGTCATTTTTTTCTCTTGCTAATGGACCATCCAATTCCTTTTGTCTGCATCCCTCTTTTCTTACAACAAGCACAGAACAAAGTTCTTTAAACAAACGAGTTGAGGTTTCAAGTTCTTGTTTCTTCTTCACCTTCAAAAATAGTGTAATTTATTTCTTTAATCTAAATCAACAATTCAAACAATTCCAGAAGCCATTACACTTATGCCATTTTTCTCAAATACAGAATTATTTTTTTTCCATTCTCTTTTGTTTGATGGACTAAATATTTTTAACATTCGTATAGTGCTACACACTTGTTTACTATTTAGTGAACTTATTAAATATACATATAAAGAAAATAATACCATATTTACTTGTTTATTACTTCATATTAACCAAGCATGAAAAATATTTTGTTGCATTATGCACACACAGTTAATATTTTGTTAAAGTGAATAAACATCTAACAAAAAGATGTGAATAATAATAATAATAATCACCCTGTCATGTTCTGAAAGGAAGAAGCTGTCAGAAATCAAATTATGACTTTTCTCTGACTCGTCAATGTAGGCTTCAAAAACCTTAAAATAATACAATGAAACATTATTTCTGAAAAAAGCAAACTATAATAATTTTTGAAACAATTAATAAAAATCTCAAGATTGATAATTAAAACAAAGCTGTACATATGATATGAAACTACACTTGTCAAATGAGTAACAGGGATCTTGTTAGTGTATATTTGCTATTCATTTAAAAAAACAAAAAACCATTACAAGTTTTATTAAGTACATCTTTTAAATCTCCAAGAAATTTAGTTTGCTTTAATGTATGTTTTTATTATAAATGACAATATAAATCAATCATCATACTTTAAAACTAACCTAGATGACTTTGCCAAGTGGTAAAAAACATATAGCAAGTGATAATCTATATCTGTACTCATAGCAGATATGTTTGATATCAATTGTTGATTTTAGAATTTTTGTACAAAGATACACAATGACTATCTGTGCACAGCCATCCTGATTTTGAACTGATAAGACAAGAGCGAAAGCAATTAGTCAATAGTACCCACCACTGACTCTCAGGCTATTCTGGTCTTACAAAATGGTGGGATTTGACAGTCACTCTTATAGCATATCCAAATACTCAAAGTGCTGGGCAAGTTTTTGCAACAAATAGTTAGCAATACTGATGAGTTTAAACAAGACTTTGTTCATAATAATTCTGTGAATAAAGTGAAAAGAACAAAACATAGAAATTTTGAATGAAATAAAAACAAAATTGAATTATCCTTTTAAAGTGAAGTAAGATAACTAAAAGACACTAAACGAATAATTTAAACACACCTGGTCTTCAATCATGGGATCACCAATGTGTAAACAAGATGGTGCTGAATCAATTATCTCTACTTTTTCTGTCCTTTGTTTATTATTATGAAGACCGGAATCCTGGATGCTGGTTTCCAAGTTAGCTGTATGAAATAATCAAACAAAAAAAACAATAAACACATATTGTAGATTTTATCTATCTTGCAGAAGCTAATATTACAAAAAATTTTAAGCTAGTTGGAATTTATAATAAAAAACAAATTCTAAGAAAAAACAACTAAAGTACACTCATTTTGTAGTTCACACCACTTTCTACTAATAAATGTAGATATTATAATGACACAACTGTTTTTGTTTTATCAGATTCAAGTGTATTCAAAGGTTATAGAAAGTAACATCTTTTATTGCAATAACAAACAAGAAATGTATCAAGAAAATTAAAATAATTTATGTAAGAATCATGACAATTGGCAAAAAGTCATCATCAGTCAATATTTTGGAAAAAAACACTTAATTGTATTAAGAATTGGGACATTTAAGATGTGAAGTTTGTTTGTAGAGTTTGTAGGTTGGAGGCTATCCTAATTAAAATAGAAGCAATAGATAAAGAGAAGTGTAGACTGTGAGAAATAGCAGCATGATTTCAAGAACTTGAAGTTTTACATGCAAGGGATACATCAGCTAACAATGACTTTCAGGAAGTTAGAAATAATGCTATTAGGGCTAAAAGTAGTGGATTTAATTGTAATGAGCATGTTCTATTGGGTAACATATTTCAGCCTTATGGCTTCTGCAGATGAGAAACTACTGGAGGGATGGAGAACAAAATGGTGAGAGAAGGATGTGAATGATAAACTTAAGGAGGTTATAGTTATATGTGATTCCTTGATAAGGTATGTGGATAGGATATTCTGTTGGGTAAATAAGGAGAAAAGAATTAGATTATGCTACCCAGGGGCACAGGTGGAGGATATAACTGATAAAGCAACAGATATAATAAAGGAGGCTAGCAGAGATGCAGTTTTGTTGTACATGTAGGGGCTAATGATGTATGGAAAAGTAGGTCAGAGGAGTTAATTGATAAGTAAAAGGGATTGATAAAGGCATTTAAAGAAAAGGGTCATAACTTATTTGGGTCAGGGATACTGCCAAGAATTAACTGTGAGGATGAAATTAAAAGTAGGTCACTAGGACTGAATGCTAGGCTTAGCATAATATGCAAAGAGGAGGAGATTGACTGTTTGGATTTGTGGGATCAGTTTAATGGGAGAAAAGAGCTTTATGGAATGGATGGTTTATATTTAAATAGGGTAGGGGCTGGCTTGTTTGCAAGGGAAGTTTTAAACTAGGACTAGACAGTGGTGAGGGCCAGGATAAATTAAACGTAAAAAGTTTAGCATAGGAAATGAGTATAGAAGTAGATCTAAGGATAGGCTTAATTGTTATTATTGTAATGCTAGAAGTATAAGAAATAAAATAGATGACTTTAGAGCACTGGTAGGAATGGAGGATTTTGATATAATGGGAATAACTAAAACATGGTTAAATGTAGATGATTTTCAAGACAGAAATTTTTTCAAATACAAGGTTATAGGTTATTTAATAGGAATAGAGCACTAAAGAGAGGGGGAAGGAATGGCTTTATATGTAAGTTATATCCTGTTAAAGTTGAAGATATCAAAGATAATAGCAAGGAGATTGAATCCATTTGGGTTTCTATTAGCAGATATAAAGGGAAAAAGCATTTAGTGGAAATTTGTTACAGATGGTACTGATGAAATTAATGATATACTTTACAGTGAGATTAAGATTGCAGCTTTTAATGAGGTCATAATTATGGGTAATTTTAATTTCAGGCATGCTATTTTAGATTATTATTAACTTTTAATATAAAATTGGTTGAGAGGGTGGAAATTGGGGAACATATGAGTGTAAGTGATCATTTCTCTATTAATTTTGATGTTTTTTTGTATATGGAGATCAAGAATAACGATACTTTGGTTAAAAGTTTTGAAGGAATACAACAAGCTGAGTTATTTGGAGACACTGATCAAATGTGGAAAATTTTTAAAGAAAAAAGTTTTAAATATTTATGATAAACATATTCCTTACAGAAAGAAAAGGGTGGCTGCAGGCAGAAAAAATAGGTTGGCTCACAAAGGGTATAAGGGATAAAATTAAAGAAAAGCATCACAAATTTTAAAAATTTAAACTGACTTGAATGACAGGACGTTTAGAAGATTATAGAAGATTAAGAAAATTGGTCAAACAGGAAATTAGGACAACAGAAATGATGTATGAAAAATAAAAGTTGGCTGAAAATGTAAAAAATTAACGGTAAGGATTTCATTAAATACATTAAGGGCAAACAAAATGTTAGGATGGGGGGTAGGACCTTTGAGGGATGATAAAGGAAAGCTCATATCTGATTATTATGAGATAGCTGGGTTATTAATTTCTGCTTTTTTTGTTCAGTTTTATAAATGAAGATTTAAATGATATTCCTCATCTTGAAAAGTTGATAGATGGAAACACGATTGAACAAGATGATCACATTAATTCTGAGCTTGTTTAGAAAAAATTTGGAAGTTTAAAGAATAATAAGGTTCCTGTGCCAGATAATATTTCCCCAAGGGTTACAAAGGAGGTTAAGGATTAGATATGTGAGCCACTTGTAAGTCCTTGAATACTGGACAAGTGCCAGAGCATTGGAAATTGGCTAATGATACTCCTCTTTTCAAGGGAGGTAATAAAAATTGTCCCAGTAATTATAGGCCTATCAGTCTTACATCAGTTGTGGGAAAAGGTTTGGAGTCTGATAAAAGATGTTTTGCAAAGTCATTTAACAAAGTTTAAAATTTTATTGGAAGCCAACATAGTTTCACTAAGGGAAAATATTTCCTTAGAAATATATTGACATTCTTTAAAAGATTACTGCTTATGTAGATGAGGGTAAGGGTATAGATTTGGTGTATCTGGATTTTCAGAAAGCATTTGACAAGATGTCACATAAAGGCTTGTAATAAAATTATCTCTATAGGTGTGGGGGATAAGTTAACTAATTTGATAGAAGAGTAGCTGGATGGAAGAAAGCAGATGGTTGCTATAAATGGTGTTCAGTTAAACTGGATTAATGTCACAAGTGGGGTACCTCAGGGCTCAGTCTTAGGACCTTGGCTCTTTTTGATTTGCATCAATAACATAGATGAAGGAATGTTCAATAAATTACTTAAATTTGCTGATGATATTTAGGCCTTGGGTGTTGCTGGTTGTGAAGAGGATGCTGCTACTTTACAAAAGGATTTAGAACATTTAGTGACTAGAGTGAATAAATAGCGGATGGGTTCTAATTATACTAAATGCAAGATAATGCATATGGGTTATCATAATTTGAATTATAAGTATAATTTGGATGGGAATAGCCTTAACAGTGTCATGCAGAAAAAGGATTTTGGTGTAGTGGTTGATCAGCCATCCAAGCAGTGTGCTATTGCTAGTGGCAGGGCAAATAGGATTTTAGGTTGTATCTACAGAAATATTGAATACAAGTCTAAAGAAGTTATGTTTTCATTGGTTTGGCCACATTTGGAATATCGTGGTCAGACTTGAGCTCCTTACCTTAGGAAAGACATTGAATTGTTGGAAAGGGTTCAGAGGAAGGCTACTAGAATGGTGCCTGGGATGGAAGGGTTGTCATACAAGGAGAGGTTGAAATCTCTCAAATTGTTTTCTCTTGAAGAAAGAAGAATTAGAAGGGATCTGATTGAAGTGTTTAAGATTGTAGAGGGAATTGATAGTGTTGATGCATCATCTTTTTTTTTATATTTAACAATGATAATAGTAGGGCTAGGAAAAACAAATATAAATTTTGGCAAGGTAGGAGTCATCTTCAGCTAAAACAGTTTTATTTTTCTAACAGGGTGGTTAGCCTTTGAAATGGGTTGCCTTCAGATGTTGGAGAGGCAATAAATTTGAGTTTAAGAGAAAGCTAACTATATCTATTTATTTAATAGTTTTAGTTTAGAGGATGGAACAGTCAAGATAGACCCACATGCCTCTTGTTGTCCCTAAACATTATGTTATATTATGTTATTGAATTATTAATATGTATAAAACTAGATACATCACTTACCTGTTATAAATACACAAGATTTGATTCAGAACATGTAAGTACTGAAATTATTCCCATATTATCCTAAATAAAAGCTAATACAAGCTAAGATTAATATTTTTTTGTTTTTTTTTAATAAACTTACCTCTCAATAAATCAACAAAAATAAAAGCTCCCTTTTCCTTTCAATATTGACCTAAAAATTAAGCATAGACTTCATCTGAGATCAAGCTGTTGTACCTTGTTTATCTATGGAACTTATTAGCATTTTGTCTATGGAAGTAAAATCCCAGGATCTACGAGTGGCTAACATTTGACAACAAGAAAGTTCAGCACATGTTATAGGAATTTATTATTTTATATAAATATTTTTTCCTTCTTCTACCGTTATTTATAGATTTTGATAATAACTGTTAAGCAGATGCTTCTGCATAACACTAGTTTAAGGGTTGATGCACACTAAGTTTTGTGTATATTAACACAGAGGTTAACATATAGAAATGTTACTCATATATTGCTACTATTTCACATGCACTTGTCCAAACATACACAAGAGTCCTTCTTAAAAATATGAACTACATGATAAAGTTACATCTATAGACTAATGTTTTTCACCAAAAAAGAAACAAAGGCATCCTTCAATAGCACTAATAAACAGTCAGTACACGTATTTTTCTTACAGAAATTTAGAATTTTAGTTACATTTTGGTTCTGATTTACATAGTTTACTTAATTTTTATCCTTAGTTCTTATTAACCCTTCTAATATAGTTGAGTGGGTTCCACCCAGCCTGTATTCCATAAAGCAGTTATACTGTAACTTTTAAAAATGTACATGTACCTTCATAAAATTTTGCGGATTATCAGTAAACATTACAAGACATTCATGCACTATCAAATTTTTAATTAATTATTTGCTCTTGCATTTTTTATTTTCGATTAATATTTACTATCCAACATGCAAAGTAATTTTGATTTTAAGATTAAAAATACTTTTATGCATCAGAAAATTGTCAAATTTCACATGCGAGATCTCCATAACCTCCTAATATCCTCCAGATAATTCTCAAACATTTTCTTTAGAAAAAAACTTTATATTTTATCTGTTATTTTCACTATTGTATCTTAGTATGGGTTTAATAATGGTTGGAGACGGTTTGAATGGGTAATGAAGAAAAACTTTAATATAAGTATAACATAACAGCAAATGTTATGTATTTCAGTTATAGCACATTATATATGCATATATATTATTACTATTTACAAATAAGTACTTAAATTTCGGTTATTTTTCTTAAAACATAGAACAGTAAATAAAGAAGTATAGAAAACAATTATCTCTTCTAGTTATGAACTTTATATTTGTTTGTGGCTTGCCATAATTTGCTAGCCTTATCAAATTTTGCACATAGAGAATGTAAAACAAAATATTGTTTTTGGCTTTATATATGCATTTTGAAATAACAAAAATCATAAATTACTATATATATACCACAGAATTCCACTATAATTTATCAGGCTTAGTATCTAAGCTGTATTTGGGTCTAAAAAAATATGATTTTTCAAGCTCAATAATGTCTTACCTTAACACTTGGAATCTGTCATGAAAAGAAAGGATTTCCCAAGTAAATACTTTGCAAAGGCTCAGAGAACCATGTGGGGGCCATTCTGAGCATTTGATTGGTTATTTACATGTGATAGACAGAAGTAGGCATACATAAGCAAGTGTTTCCAAAAATGGAAAGAGGTGGGTGGGGGCCACTGTGTTTCATTCACTAAATCTATCGATATCTCAGCAAAT